CTGCAGGCCATGCCCGGCGCACCCGCGTCCTGCGCACCAAGCCTGTGGAGTCAATGCTGGAGGGCACGGGGACCACTGCCACCCAGGGCGCCAGGCTGGCCAAGGTGCTCACCACCCTCGACCTCATCTCCCTTGGCGTCGGGAGCTGTGTGGGCACAGGCATGTACGTGGTGTCCGGCCTCGTGGCCAAGGAGATGGCAGGGCCCGGGGTCATTGTTTCCTTCATCATCGCTGCCGTTGCCTCCATCCTGTCAGGTGAGTCGTTTTGAGTAACATACCATTTCATGCATCCCCTGGCTCCGTTCACGGGTGGATGCCTGGCAGGACCCGAGCTCAGCAGCAAAAGCTGCAAGGAGGTAGCGCCTTCTCCACAGAGTAAAAAACCCTTTCACACTGGGCTTACCCACCTCAGGTGCACTGTCTCTCATTGTCCAAATATCAGACCAAACCTAATGGCCTGGGAGCCAGCAGCCTAAGTATAATCACCCTGGTGAGCTGCTGATGGCTTCCTCAGGGATGGAGCCTGTGGTCAATATATTTTGAAACAGTTGAAAGTTTTGCAGTGTGTGCCCAAGGCAGAGAGTGTGGCCAAGCCACAGCACTGGAGTGAGAGTGCACCATGGCTGTGGGAAACCCTGGTTAAAAATGGTTTGGGTATCACTGGGACCAGCTTCTTTTGCTGTCAACATTGCTAACAGTTAAAAAATTCCTTTGTTGGTTTTGGAGTTGATTCTACTGGCTCCTATTCATGCAGGATCGCTCTTGAATTTCCAAACAAAAAACCCAACAAACAAGTGCAGAAAGAGAAGGATTATGTATTTTAGTGAAAAGCCAGTGAATTCCATCTCCTCTGTAGGAACCCAGCTGAGCATATGGCTCAAGCTGCGGCTTCCTCATGAAGCCAGTACTGCTGGCATTTGTCCTTTCCAGATCAGTGCTAATTCGATGATGTGATGTCCCTGCTCTCCCTGCTCAGAGGACTTTGCATGCTGTGTCAGTCTGGTATCCAGCTTTTATCTGCAGGTTGGGTAAGGAAACCTGAGTAAATGGCAAAGGGCTTTGATAGAAGACAGGAGCAACAAATACAAAGTGACCCAACTCTGCTTTTCAAGTCCTTGGATTTTTGTAGGGAGAGATGGGAGCACATCATGCTCTTTTCCTGGAGGTTGTAGTGCTGCTCCATGGAGATCCTACCAAAGTGCATGTGAAGTGCGATCCCTCTACACCCCAGAGGCACAACCCTGGCACAGCACGGGGATGAGTGTCACCGTCTCTCCAAAGCTGTGCCAGGGAGAACCCAGTGATGCTGGGTAGGGACCACCACACACACTGTCCTGCCACCCCACTCAGCAGCTGGACCACAGTGACAAGGCAGCTGACACATATACCACTGGTTTAGCCTAGAACAAGAGCTGAGAATGTGCAGTAAGATACCTTGCTTGAGATCTCAACACAACAGATGAACCAAAATGCCCATTTTTTAACCAAGGCAGTAGATAGCATCAGTGTCTTTATCTTTTACCACCGCCTGCTTTCTTTCCTCTAGAAGGGTTTTGCTGGCTGTGATGCAAACCAAGAGCAAATGGAGCTTGGGTGGGTCTCATCAAACAAAAACACACTGTACTCCAAAAGGGGCTTCTTCACCCCAGACGTGAACCCTGCCCCACAGCAGGGAGCTCCTCCTGCCTTTGCCCACAGGAGCCTGCGCCGCATCCCACTCAGCTTTCATCTCCCCTTGCTTTTATAGCCCTGGGAAAGTGTTTTGCAAAGGATGCAGTGTTTTGATAGTCTCCTTGGCTGCTTCCTCACTTCATCCTTGACGCTGCTGTTGCTTATAACAGCAACACATTTTTGGCAAGTGAAACCAAGCAAGAGTCTGGGAGCTGGACGTGCTATTGGGCTCACTGGGGACTTGATTTCAGCTCTCACATCATGGTGACTCCTGGTGTGCCAGGCACTGAACTAGGGCAGGTGTGCACAGACAGATTTTAAGGAGCTTCTTACAGTTGTAAGGCCAGGCCAGATGGGACCACTAGGTCACCCTCTCTCCCTTGGTGCATCACAAACTACCAAATCAGATCCCACCGTCCGTAAAGTGAGCCCAGAAGGATTTTGGCTAAAAAACGCCCCTTCCAGAAAGCCATTTGGCTCCCTGGGGACAGCCACAGCGAAGCCCCACCAGGCAGGTCCTGACAGTAAGACATCCCTATGCACTGTTTAGCCCAGACAGGGAGTATTCTGATTTCATCTACCAGACAAATTGCAGTTATGCCTTCCCCTTGGTTTAAACAGCATGTGCTCCATCAGGGTACTTACAGACATACTATAATTGATTAAACTGATAAACTAAATCAATCTCTTTTATTCTCTCACTGGAAGGCCTTTTATTCAGCTGTCAAGCAGAAACGCTTGCCCAACTTCCCCTCACAAAGCCTCCAGCACAGGGAACACCACAGGTTCCCTCCATAGGCTATGATCACTGGGATTCCCTACTGTCACCCCCATGTCTAACCAAAGCCCCTTGTTGGCAAAAATCAGCACCCTCCCCAGACAGTTTTGAAGCACACTGCCATGCTCTTACCTGGCACCCATGTGCAAGCAGGGTCAGCAACATCCTGAGTGTACAGCAGAGCAGGGGAGAGCTGAGCATGTGTCTCAGCTGCTGCAGGATTAGGGCCAGGATGAGGTGCTCCAGCAGATGCTGATCATGAGCTGCTTGGGTGCTGCTGGAGAGCTGGGAGTCCTTTTTCTAAGGAAGCTTTCTTTACAGAGCTGCCTTTTATGTATCTGCACACAGTGATCATGAAACACAATGGACAGGCTTGCTGAAAATAGGGTTTTGCTGTATACCTGCCTCAATAAATTGTCTGCTTTTGGTTAATGAAGGATGGTCCCTCTAGATTTCTTGTGTAGTAGCATGGATTAATTAGTGTTATCTCCAGCGCTGCTGAAAGGCCCCTTACTGAAGGCTTGTTCTACATGAAATATCACTCCCATCATGCTAGTGCCCTCTGGGATGCCTCATGGTCCCTCTGGCATTGTGCCAGGTGGCAGTGGGAGGGTCAGCATCCACACCACGACCACCACCAGCCTGGCACATTGAAAGTAAGGCAGCAACCAAAAGAGTGAATGAAGATGCAGTGTTTGCACCAGTTCCTTGTGCCACTGTTCGTGCTGCCCAGTGGCTGTTGCAGTGCTGGAATTTGGGGTTTGAAGCGAGTGGCGACTTCATGGCCCGTCCTCCTGCCCCACTGAGGCACCACTCACCAGCAAAAGTCCCCACTGAGCAAGTCAGGATGCGAAGTGTGACCTCAAGCCACTGCTAACACAGTAACATCCAACTGGTATACAGGCACTGTATGCAAGGCTGCTGCCTGCCTCACTTCCTACCCTTAAACAAGATAAACCAGAGAATGGACAAGTCAATTAAATCTGAAAAATGGGGTTCTGTAGATGGGATCTTGGAAGGGACAATGTCATGGACCAAACCACTCAGCTGTGTTTATGTCTTGTTGAATAATGTCAATAATTGTGTAATTACATCAGCATTATGACCATCACACCAGTTATACAGTGTAGCTGATAGTCAAAGAAAAGAAATGGTCGTCTGTAAAAAGACTGCTCTTCTAAACAACCACTGTGTTGGTTTGATTTCTGCAAGAACTTGCAAACACTTTTGACTGGAGAGGGAAAAGAAATCTGTCTCCACATTCATCGTGGTGAAGAGGCCCCAGCGTCCCCTTGCAGACCTGGAGCCAGGCACGGGCAGAGCTGCATCTCTCTGGGTACCAGAGGATGAAGTGCTGAATAGCAGGGGCTGCCGAGGAGTAACTAACAGTTTTATTATGCAGTTGTAGTGTAATAATAATAGTAATAATACAGTAGTGATGCAGTAGAGATCAGTGAGATAAAATCTGCAACGTAATAAATTATGATATTTTCTTCCTTTTTAAGCAGAGAGGGATGTGCTGTGAACCCTGTTTCTGAAGGAGGACCTGCAGCACCACAAAGTGAAGTGATTTGATCAATGCCACCCGATACAGCCACTGGCAGTCAGGGGTGGATGACAGATCTTGTATCACTTGTGCCCCAGACTGGGTACTGCGTACTATGATAGAAAGTAATTTATTTTCTTAATATATGCTGATACCTATGCAGATATCCACAATGTGTTGCTGTACCCAATGCACAGTGAAAGATTACTGTTCTATTTTGGGACCCTAGTAATGTAATTGAAAACTCAAACATTTTATACATATTAATGTCTTTGTTTTGCCATGATCATTCTGTATCAGTAACAATCATCTTTAATCCTTATCTTGTAATTGGCTAAAAGTAGAATTGCCTCCAAGAAAGATTATATGATTTTTAAGGCCATCAAAGAGAGAAACTAGATACTTGTCCCCATCAGAGCACCTGTTTCATAAATCATTCAGGCCTGTAGTTATCTGTGAATGTCTTACCTTTGCCGAGTACATGCATTTTTCATCAGCTTTAAATAACGACCATCTGTAAGGCTGGATGATGGAGATGTCTTGCTGCTCCTGTAGTTGGGCCTGCTTTACAGAAATCAAGTTTTGAAGACCCATTGCAAAGCACTGCCAGCACTGTGCATGCAAGTTAAACAGTGAATGGAATATAAAAATCCTCCAATACCAAGACAAGAAACACCACCAAATTCGGCATAAGGATTCAATAATTCTGTGTTTGTACTGTGTAAAAACTGCATTAGCAGTGAGAGCAACAACCTTTTAACATTTTTATAAGTTATTCATTCCTTTCTCTATACTGAACTGATAGCAAATTTGAAGCAATTATTATCTTCTAAATAGAGAATAGTTGTTGATAAAGAACTCAATAACTACTACATGTTCACACAATGATAGTAACGACCCTAACCCATATTCCCATACAAGCTGAACTGGGGAGTTTGGGGCAAGGTCTTAATCAGTGTTAAACACTCAGGACACAGTGTGGCCTTCCAGCACTTGTTCTGACTAATATTTGGGGAATTTATGACTAAGTCCATCCATTCCTTTTAAATAAAATCTAATGGTTGTTTTAAGACATCAGTGTGTCAGGGTCAGGTTTTTATTGAAAAGTATCCCGACATAGTAAGTACACAAGGAGTTTGGAAAGTATTAAAGTCCACTGAAATTGCCTCCCAAACAGTTCCAATTAAATACCTCTTTTTGCTTCTCTTTTTTTCTTCTACAAAGTCAGTTTTGCAGCTGTTCTTCAGAACGAGACTTAACATGTAACAATTTTAAGTGTTAAAATATCTTATGTTCTCTACGTAATGTGGCTTCAAACTCCTCTTGCACAGGTACAAATTAGAGCAGGGATGAGCAGGACAGTTCTCGTGCCTGGATCTTCATAGCAGTAAACCAAGATAGTCATTTGGAGATAGCACAACTGAGGCAGGGAGAGGTATGAGCCTTCCTGCAGCATCTTGCTCTAGGATGAGGCAGGGCAACACTGGTCCAGTATCCCATGCAACGACTATACCCAACCCTGACCTAGTTGTGCCCCACAGTACTTCAAAGAAACATAAACACCGTCCCCTGGCAGGTCTCACTGTAACCACTTTTCCCTGGCGAACCCCAGGACTATGATGATTTCTGCAGCCAAAAGCACTGGGAGCTTACCAGTACATTGATATCACATTATAAAACATTATAAAATCCCAGGAAAACCATCAAAAATCCTATTATGTCACTGTTGGATGGGAAAGAAGAGGTACCTATCATCATCAAAGCTACTGCAGGGAAACAGGGCTGCAAGGACCACACCAACCATGGTGCTCAGTTCTGCTCCGAGCTTTGGTTTTGTGTCTGGGGGGCTGCAGTTGGCCATGCCAAAGGTCCCACATCAGAGGCACACACCTGTGAGAAGGCTTTTCTGCAACAGACTGTAAAGGTTTGGATAGTTTGAACTGTGCAGCCTTCCAAAAAAATAAATCCATCACAGCTTGATTTTAATGGGAAAATGAGCTGGATTTTAAGCCAAATGATTGGGAAGGGAGGGTCACCATGGCCTCCTGTGATGTCTCTGTGCTCCTGATGCTGAATACAGCCCTGGGCACTTCCTGGCACCTCCAGGCAGGTGGGACCAAGGCAGTTTCACTTTTTCCTTTTCCAAGCACATTTTCCTTACGTTTTTCATATTTTTCTAACCAGGCGTTTGCTACGCTGAGTTTGGCGTGCGGGTCCCCAAGACCACAGGCTCTGCCTACACCTACAGCTATGTGACAGTGGGGGAGTTTGTGGCGTTCTTCATCGGCTGGAACCTCATCCTGGAGTACCTGATCGGCACGGCCGCGGGCGCCAGTGCCCTCAGCAGCATGTTTGACTCACTGGCCAACCACACCATCAGCCGCTGGATGATCAACAGCGTCGGGACGTTGAATGGACTAGGTGTGTTATGCTATGCATAGGCTCCCAATTACTCAAAAAGTAATTGAAAGATCATCAAAAGTCAGACATGGATATTAAGCTTCATTCATTATTTACCATCCGTCTGCCTCTGGTACTTTGCCTTTGCAGCCTGGTTCACAGACGGGATTCAGGGGGATGGGATACACAATACTTTGAGCTCCTTTGGGATGAGCTGGCATTTAGCAGGATAAGCATCCAGAAAAATTAGTCAAATGCCAGAGGCTAATGACAGCACAGGAGCACTTCACCCCATGCAAGTACTCTGCTCAGTCCTGTTAAGGCACACAGTGTCTACAGTACTGCCATGTAGAAACTCGGGGCTGTGATGGTCCTGTGTGAACAGCAGTTCCAGTCCGTGATTCCCACCAGTGAGTAAAGCAGCTAGCTCTCCTGTACCTGTGTCATGAAAACTACATGTTTGATTGATTTTTGATTAGTACTTAGCAGATACATGTTACGCAAAGTGGGATCTGATTGTTTCTTCCCTGCCCTCCCAAAACTCCTGACAGTCTTGAGGCACCAAGATTTATTACCTTAATAAAACAGCTTTAGCTAGCAGAGGCAGGAGCAGCTGGAGACTGCCTTTGCAATGAGGCCAAGGAGTTCTGCAAAGCCTCAGAGTCTGAAAAGTATTTTTCAAAGCCCCTACAGAGTTTCTGAAGATGCTGTTTGCAGCTATGGTTGAAGAATTACACACCTCTTTTCTCTTACTTAGGGAAAGGAGAGGAGTCGTACCCTGACCTTCTTGCTCTGGTCATTGCTGTCATTGTCACCATCATTGTGGCCATAGGGGTGAAGAACTCAGTGGGGCTGAACAACGTACTCAACGTCATTAACCTGGCAGTCTGGATCTTCATCATGATTGCTGGTCTCTTCTATATTAAAAGTGACAACTGGGCTGAAGGGCAATTCCTGCCATTTGGATGGCCGGGGGTAAGTCCTGGGCACATGAAGGGAAACACACAGCACCTAAGCAGAGCCACACTTTGTGCTGGCGTATACCACCCCGCTTTCCTTGTGGTATACACACCCTACTGCCACTGCACTCCCCAAATCTCAACCCTGCTAAACCCACCTGTGCTTTGGCCAGGGACCTCCAACTTCCAGCAGTGCAGGCTTGGATCCAGGCCTCCTCAGTCCACCAAACTCAGAGAGTTTGGCAATGCTTTGCCTATGTCTCCTAGAAAAAAACCAGAACTTTTCCTAAACATCCTCCTCAAGAGCCAAACTCCAGATGAAAGTATACCCCAGGAAATGCCACTGATTGCTAGGCAATGGAGCAAAATGCAGTGGCCATCCGAGACAGGGTGCTTAAGAGGAACTGGCTCAGCCTCTGCTGAGGGGGAGATACTTGTGTTGGCTGTTTTTCAACAACAATGTTCTCAAGCATTTGTTTTGAGCACTTCATAAAGCCACCTGCCAGTACTTATTTTATGGATGTTCCCCTAAAGCTTACTGAGAATTTGGACATATTTGGCTTTTTTAGCTTGCTTGCACTGGTTTTTATCCAAGGATGAACAGAGACTGAAAATATCTCAGCTGGCCTAAACCCAAGATAATTTCTCAGATTTACACTGCTCGACTCCATCAGGGTTTTGTGCAGAAAAATAAGCAAGAAAGTAAAATAAACCAAGAATCTTGATTATTGAAAGGGTCCCAAGCTGCCACACAGTCCCTGCACCTCCCTTTAGTAAATCAACAACTCCCTGCCAGAGAACAACAGTGAAAGAGCACTCAGGCCCATTTGAGAGCAGAGATTTTATTTACCTTTGGATTGTGCTTGGCTTTTTATGCCATACAATAGGAATGAAAAAGAGAAAATAGAAATAGCTGTTTTGCTCCCATTGAACTCACCAAATATCTCCTGTCAAAAAATCAGTAAAAATACATATCCAAACCACATCAAAACTGATATGGTTTTCCCACCATTTTCAGCTGGCTGTTTGTCTGTTTGTTTGTAAAAGTAAATCCACCAGAGCACAAGCATGAGATCCCCAGGAGCGTAGGGAATACTCTAAAAAAGTTATTACAGGTTGTGTCCTGAAAGAGGTGAGTTTTACTGTGTGCTCCATCACTAGACAGCTGAGATGACAGGAATGTGAAGAACATTTGATACTCAGGTAACTAGCTAGATGTATGCAAAAGCTTTACAACTGCAAATTAGCTCGCTCACAGCCACACAGTCTTTAGCCTGTTCCAGCATTGCTTTCCTATCAATGTTCTTGCTACTATTGTATATTTTTAAAAATCACATTAAAAAAATAACCAAACAGTACAAATTATTCCTCATCCAAATGCTCCAATGTGCATTCCTAACCTGTCTGCAGCTTCCAAGCAAAACAGAGGTTGTTTGGAAAGTGGAGCACATCTGACTGTTACTGCTCTCTTCTGCTTCCTCTGTTAGCAATCTTGCTGCCACATGAGACATCTTGCTAAGCGTGTAAACATGCTCCAAATCCCTAATAATATAAAGGGATTTGAGGTGGAGGATTGTGAAAGCAAACCTGAAATTGGTTAATTGTTTCCTCTGTCACTGCCAGGATCTCGCAGCAGATTTGGGCACTGCACAGGCTCAGGTTTGTGGTGCACCACGAGTGAGCTGCAGATGCCTCCAGTGACTCGGGCAACATGTTGAAATATTTTCCCATCCCAGGATCAGTCCGTTGATGGGAATGCCTACCTCTATGTGTGCACACCCTAATCTGCCCCACTCACCCTTTAACTCCAATGAGGCAGAACTGGGCTCCTTCATTTCCGCTCAGTTCCCTCTCCCTGGCTGGGTACCAGCCTCCCTGCTGGCACTCAGGTGCTCGATCCTCCATGCAGGTGCTCAAAGGGGCTGCGACGTGTTTCTACGCCTTCATCGGCTTTGACATCATTGCTACCACGGGAGAAGAAGCGAAGAACCCCAACACCTCCATCCCCTACGCCATCACGGCCTCACTTGTCATGTGCTTGACAGCATATGTGTCAGTAAGTACTAGCTGTGCATATGTAAATGTACATAAATATGCATGTATGTGTATATATATTTTTTAAAAACTTCTATATATAGCGCGTCCCTTCTGGGCATCTGCGCAGCTCCCCCGCCATTAGCCAGGGTGCCAGTCTGACCCTCAGACAAGGGCCCTTTCTCTGGTGGGAACTGAGACATCAGCTGTGTTTCCATGTGACTGCACTGTCCTGCTGAGGCTCCCCTCGGCCACAGCCCAGTTTGTCCTCAAGCTCCAGTCACCAGACTGAGATCCCTCTGCTGGCTGCAGGGAGATGGTGGCAGTCAGCTGCTGTTTCCTCACCCCTCATCGCTATCCACAGCTATTTTTGCATCCAGAAGTGCAGCAAAGCAGAAGGAACAGCAGCTTTGCAGCAACCTTTCTCCATATTTTGGAGAAAAGCAGCACTGCCTCCGCTGGAGATGCGGGAGAGAGTCCACGTGAGGGGGAGGATGGGCAGGGATGGCCATGCCAGAGATACCCAGCTGCTTTGCACCCCAAGAAATGTGTGTCTGCGCTCAGGGATTTTCCTTATAAAAAGCAAAATTGACTCACAAAGGAGAAAAAATATTGTTCTGATCATTTCAAAGAAACTCACCCACTGTCTCTCCTGCAGCATGGCGGGCTTCCCTCAAAACCAATTTCTCCGGCTTAAACAGGATCAGAGTGTACCCCATGCAGTGACATCTTGGGTTTTCATGTGTCCCATGGGGAGTACATGACTTGGGCAGTGCTGTCCCTACACAGGAACATGGACAATGCAAGTGTAACTAACCCCTTCCAGTCCCACCAGTCTCCCGCATCACCACAGCAGCAAGGTTCAAGGTGTCACCTTCTTGCTTTCCAATGGCAGTCTGAGGCCCCACAGTTCCTGGATTAACCACTCCACAGCAAAGTGTGTACAGGCCTTACCTCCAGCATTTTACATCCCCTCCCCATAGGATGTAGGAATGCAATCCCAATCAGACTGGGAATTTTTGGCTTTCCACCCTTGAGAAACAGCCTTTGCACCATGCGCGCCCCCAGCAGCCCTGGAGCTGCTGCTGACACCCATGTCCTTCTCCTCTTGTCTTCTCCAGGTGAGCATCATCCTCACGTTGATGGTACCCTATGATGCCATTGACACCGAATCCCCGCTGATGGAAATGTTTGTGGCTCATGGCTTTTATGCAGCCAAGTTCATCGTTGCCATTGGGTCCGTGGCTGGCCTAACCGTCAGCTTGCTGGGCTCCCTCTTCCCAATGCCGAGAGTCATTTATGCCATGGCTGGCGATGGGCTGCTCTTCAGGTCAGTTGAGCCCATGCTGACATTTATTTTTTCCTCCTTGGGACTCAAAGGGGAGGTTTTCTGGTGGATGGGGTCTCTCCTTCACCCTGACTGTCCAGTGGCACCACTGTAGGGAGCAGTGGGCGTGCACAGACTCAGTGCTTGCAGAACAGGGCACACACCAACACAAAATCATGGCTGGGACAGGGAGGAATTAGGAGAGATCTAAGCAAAAGTTTCTCATTTGATGCTGGAAGCTAGAGATTCGGCTTATGTGAGCATGTGTTTAATCTAAGAGTTACTTGCAAAGGAGAGCAGCTTATATGCATAAAATCTTGGCACTTACTTGCAAGTGTCCAAGTGCCCATTTCAGTGCTGGTTAGACCTAGATGCAACTCCAGATCCAGCCTCAGCAGTATTTCCAGTCCCCAGTTACCTGGAATCTAAGCTTCAAGAAGCAACAAGAGCTGTGGGAATCACAGCTCTGAGCCTGACCTCAGGTAAGGGTTATTGCAATAGGGAACCACTGTGATTTAACGTTGTAATTTTAATCTTATGCAACCGTTTTGCACTCCAGATTTTTGTCCCACGTCAGTTCTTACACAGAAACCCCTGTAGTGGCTTGTATCGTCTCTGGATTCCTTGCAGCGTTGCTCTCCTTGCTGGTTAGCCTGCGGGACCTGATAGAAATGATGTCCATTGGCACACTGCTCGCCTACACGCTGGTCTCCGTCTGCGTCCTGCTCCTCCGATACCAGCCCGAGAGTGACATTGATGGCTTTGTCAAGTTCCTCTCCGAGGAGCACACCAAGAAGAAGGAGGGCATCCTGGCTGACTGTGAGAAGGAAGCTTGCTCCCCAGGCAGTGAAGGAGAAGAGTTCACTGGCCCACCGACCAACACGTGTGGGGCAAAAAATCTGCCTTCACTGGGGGATAACGAGATGCTAATCGGGAAATCCGATAAATCCACCTACAGTGTGAATCACCCCAATTATGGCACAGTAGACATGACCACAGGGATAGAGGCAGATGAGTCAGAGAACATCTACCTCATCAAGCTGAAGAAGTTGATCGGCCCTCGCTACTACACGATGCGGATCCACCTTGGACTGCCGGGGAAAATGGACCGACCCACAGTGGCCACTGGCCACACCGTCACCACCTGCGTGCTCCTGCTCTTCGTCCTCATGTTCATCTTCTGCTCCTTCATCATTTTTGGGGCAGACTACATCTACGAGCAGAGCTGGTGGGCTGTCCTCCTCGTCGTGCTGATGATCCTGCTCATCATTGTGCTGGTGTTTGTGATCCTGCAGCAGCCAGAAAACCCCAAGAAGCTGCCCTACATGGCACCTTGCCTGCCCTTTGTCCCTGCCTTCGCTATGCTGGTGAATATCTATCTCATGCTGAAGCTCTCCACGGTCACGTGGATCCGATTTGCCGTCTGGTGTTTTGTGGGTGAGTCCCAGATTCATTTGTTTTATTTTTTTAACTGACACTCTTTTGAAAGGGTGTTAATAAGAACTTGCCTAATTAGAGTGCTTAGGCAATACTTCTTCAGCTGGGACATACCCAGTCCTTTGCATGTGTCCCTTGTCATCCTGAAGTTCTTAGAAATCTGAGTTAATCAAGCCCCCGAACCACAGCTCAATGGAAAATTACACCTCCAGAAAATGTCAGTTTGATGAAAGTAAACTGCTCCATGCAAAGGTGACTGTTTTGATGAGTCTTTTGATGCGAAGTAGGTGGGTTCTACAGATTGCCTCACAGGCAGGTTTCCTACAGAAATCTGCCTGCTTTCTTGCTATTTCACCCACTTGAGCTCTTCAGCAGCCCACACCATTATCTCAGCACTGCATTTCCAAAGCCCAGAGCTGCCCATCCCCAATAGCCCTGGGAGAGATAGAGCCAAGGAATCTGTGGATTGTATCTCTTTTTCTTGGTCTGTCCTTAACTCTGTGGCAGGGGGATCTCAGGACTTGCAGGCTCTGTTGTAGACTTTATTTTTTCCCAAATTTAGGCTTCCTGGAACATGGCCAGAGCTTGGTATGTCCATAGTTTCCCTTGCTTTACATTGCAACTCACTTACTCCACAAACCCAAGAGAAAAAGAGCAGCTCTCATTGCTCCTCCTGAAGGCTCCCAAGCCTGTACTGTAGAGAACTGCAGCAACAAGACAGCATCAAAGCCAAGGGTCTCTTTACAGAGAAATGTCAACCCTATTGCAGCAGCCTACAGGGACCCCGCTTGAAGACAACAGACCCTGAGAATGGTGACAGCACCCACAAGGACCATCCTTGGCCAATTATCCCACCAACCGCCCTCCCCTTTGGGAACTGGATTCAGGGTCCTGGGATGAGAGGGAGAAAATGGTGGGGGAAGAGAATGAGGACTAATACAAAAGTCATGGTCAGATGCCATGTCCTGTAAAGGCAGGAATCACCCTCCCTGGAGCAGGGGTAGGCAGGCACAGGCCACCGTACTGGGCTCACCAGTCTTTGTGCTTTTCTCAGGTGCCTCCAGACATTTGTAGATGTTTGAGCTCAGTTGGAAAAGTCAGGAGATGATGTGAACAGGCCTTGGATCTCCCTCTGGTGTCTCAGAGAGCTTAGAATAGTCTTGTGGTTTCTTTCTTTCGGGGGGAGGCTGCTACCATGTTTTTGCTCCATTTTGCTATTCCTTGTTTTGCTTCAGGAGGACTGCAGTCATCCTGAGTCAGTCCTGCACAGCTGAGGTCCCATAGCAAAGCTCCATCTCTGAGAGTCCTCTAGCTCTAAGGCAAGCCACTGGGCAGTAGCTGCCACATGGATTCTTTGAGCCAGAGAAGACATGCTCAGTGCTTTTTGACCCTCAAAGGCAACAAGAGAAGCTGGAAATCCAGGGAAAGCCCTTCTACCTGGAAGGATAGACAACTCCCAATATCAGCTTAATCTACTGTGGTTAAATACTTTCCCCTGTGGCATATCTAATTGCCTCTTCAGCTGCCAGCAATGGCAGTGAGTCAATTAAGCCACACCATTGAAGTGTGATGGACTCCACCAGTCCCATCCACAGCTGCTTGACTGCTGAGGGAGGTTTGTGTTTCTGGCAGAGATGTGCAGTCCTGCCGCACGGACTCTGGATTTAACCTCAGAAGCAGTCCCCCATTGCCAGTTCAGGCCTGTGGAGAATTCTGGGTATCTCCATGTACGTATCTAGGGTAGGTTAAACCCAGGGTACACTGGAAATTAGATCTCCAGATACATTTGGTTCCAGGGAAAGCACTGGTGCAGAAAGGTGAGATCAGGTGGGAGAAGATGAAATTACTGAGGGGAGAGGACAGTATTTCAGAGCTGGTTTAATACTGAATTCACTCATCCTGACAGCCCTGGGGCACATGTGGCTGCGAGCACCAGCAGGAGAGAGACTGAGAGCGTGAGAAAACTCCAGCGAGAAGAAGATAGCCAGGAGGGTAACAGGGTGGAGATGTGGGTTGTTGGGACTTGGGAGCCTCCGCACATCTGCTGGGAGCTGTGGTCCCACCGAAGCTGCAGATGGCATGATAGCACAGCCAGCAGCAATCCCGGCTGATGTTTAAAACATACAGCCCCTGGCTCACAGCTGGCAGCCCCAAAACACACACTCAACAGCTTCAAAGAGCAGACATCAACTACAGCATACACTTGACTTAAAAAATAGAGGTATATTTACTTACACTTAACCATCAGCTGGAGCCAGCCCAGCATACGTGGAAGAGGCTGGAGGTGAGCTGGGCTGGATCCCTAACCCACCTCTGATGTGCTTTTTGGGGATCAGGTGCCATTTTGGGGCTTGGCATGTTTATAGTGCTGTTTTATCCAGGTGGCTGGGGTCCAACCCTCTCCCTTTCACCTGCCACAGGTCTGCTCATATACTTTGGCTATGGGATGTGGAACAGCACGCTGGAGATCAGCGCTCGGGAGGAGGCCCTCCACCAGAGCACCTATCAGCGCTATGATGTGGATGTCGACCCCTTCTCTGTGGACGACGGCTTCTCCTATGCCACTGAGGGTGAGGGCTTCCCAGGCTGGGGTCCCTCTGAGGACAAGGGCTTCTCGTACCAGCAAATGGCAGGAGCAAAGGAAAGCCATCGGACGAGTAGCAGGTCGAAAAGCAAAGGCAGGCACAAACCGCCGTCGGAGGCTCTCATCGCCAACGACGAGTTGGACTACTCACCCGAGTAGCAGGGTGGACAGCAGGGTGCCGCGCTGCCAGCCGAAGAGGAAGGGTCCCTGCGGCTCCCCCACCCTGTCCCATCCCCCCCACGCCCCGCGCGCCCCCCCATCCTGTCCCATCCTCCCCAGGTCCTCCACCACCCCCCTGCTCACCTCTGGTCCTCGGGACACACTCTGCAATTGCCATTGACCCTGAACCAAACACACTTGTGACCTGTCCTGGCTCCACTGGTCGGGTCTCGCTTTGGTGAATACCAGCTGCTCCCCTGGCACCGGTTGATCTCCCAGCACCAGCCACACCGTGGAGGCAGTGAAGTGGGAGATGTGCCAAACTGGGAGGATGTTGGGAGGTGGGCATGTGAGGGGACAAAGTCCCCGGGGAATGTCCACCCAATGGCTGCAGCAGTGGGATGCCACTTTTACATTTTTGGCACTTTCTTAGCACGTGTGTGTTTTTTCTTTGAACCACGTAGAAGTAGTAGCTGAGCCAGTGGGACAGATGGGTGGGTAGGTGCAGAATGGAGATGGACAAACCCCTTTTAAGGGAGTTGCTCAGAGATGGATCCAGAGATGCTGGTTCTATATCACACAGTGTTACCATAGCCTGTTCTGTGCAAAGACATACAGCGTACATCTCAGTGCTATCCCCGAATCCAAGCATCTCAGATACTGTGATTCAAAATTGGTCCATGTTTCAAACCTTGAAGTCCCAGCACAGCCAAACATCCCAAATCTGTGGTTGGGAGCCTGGTTCCATTTCTGGTCACAGCAATGGCTGTGACTCACTCTTGGCTCAACCCACCTTGTGCGAATGGTCAGCAAGGACCAGACGCTGTTCCTCTGAGCATCACCAGGCTGAGGCTGGGCGCTGTTTCCACCATATTGTGTCTTTTACAAAAATGACTGTGCTGTAATTCCCTCACTGCAGTGGGCACATTTCAGAGCTCACTCTGGCCTCAGTGCTTCAGGAATGTACCCATGCCCCTGCGAAGTAGCAAAGTCTGTGGGTCAGCCACATCTTGGCAGGGTGGGCCATGAGTGGCAAGTGGAGGGGACTTGGCTGCTGAAATCTCCCTCCCTGCTGCTGTCTCCACCTTGCACCTTTTTCTCTGTTTCTGACCCTGGCTTGGTGGATGCTGTATGAAAAAAAAACACTGAAATGCTGCGCATTCTGTAAGTGTCTGTATTTCAATTTGTAACCAAACAGAGCTGGTGGCTCACGGGGCAGAGGTGGTCAGCAGGTGGATGTTTCTCATAGATAAACCCTCCATTATGGTCCAAGGATGGCCGTGAGTCCCAGCAGTGCCATCAAGTTCTCTGCTGCCAGTGTCCCCACAGCCCCATCGATGGTGGTGGGGTTTGGTTGCAGCCACCCCAGTCAGCAACTGCACTGCTGAGTCAGCGATAAGCAGTTCTGGAGCTTCAGTTCTGGAGCCCATCTCTAACTTGCTTAGTGTAAAACATTGCAATGGAGGAACATCTTTTTGAATAACTAATAACTAAGTAAGTACCCCATCAGACAGAGACATCCACTCTATTCCCAGTCCCCATCCTTGGGGCTCACCTGGAGCAGCCCAGACCAATCCCCCGTACCAGGGGCTGTCCCTGGCATCCTAGGGGACAATTTAACGTTGCTGGGGCATGAGGTAGGATTTCCAATATGTGATGCTGAGAACCACTAACACTTTGGTTCACTGAATGAGGCTCAGCCCCACAAAACACAATGCAGAGCCTGCCTGGCACCCTCTGTGGGCAAGTGGGCTGCTGGGTGCAGAGGGTGCCTGGACCCATGCCGATCCACATTACTCCTGGGGCTCAGGGCCTTGATGAAGAGGCGCTTCCTGTGGCTGCAGAAGTTTCCCTGCAGCTTCTGTCCCAAATGGTGACAAACAACAGCCCTTTTATCAGCAAAGAGCACCCAGTTCTGCAGATCTTAACCCGGAGTGCCCCAGGCAAGCCAAGGGAGGTTTGGCGTCTGTGAGAGCTTCAGGATGGGAGCAAGGATTTGGCAAAAGGACTCATAAGCTTCGGTCTGGTGTCTCCTTCCATTGTCCACCCCTACCACAGTTCTTCAGTCAGAAATCACGTGTTCCACTGAAAACCTGTTTGCAGTGTGTGTACCACTCATGGACCAGCTTGGGAAACCTTTCCAGCAGTGCTGAGCGCCTCTTGCAAAGGTCACCTCTCACTTGTGCTTGACTGCTCTTGTCCTCAATGCCTTAGAAGTACCCAAGAGAGATGGCACCTCGCAGGTCTGGCTTTACATTTTCAGGGAGAAAGATTGATGCTATTTTCCTACCAGCTCTTATAATATACTATATCTGAGGTAGTTGTCTTTGTCCTGCTTCCACATGGTATTTAGGCATCTGCTGAACCCTGTTGAATCAAAGTCTGTTATTCCTTTTGCAGCCTTAATCTCTTGCTACAGAGCAGTTACCAGTACCAGTGTCTGTTGTCATGTCCTCTCTAGTTACTCTGTATAATTTGATGAGGGCTTGATCCCTTGCTCTTTGGTGTCTGTAAGAACCTATTCATTGGATCCACGTATTGAGTGAAGCCCTTCAGCTACTCCTGTTCCCATTCACACATCCTCCTTCCCCTTCCCAGGGAAGTGCTGGGGCAGGATGTCTGCGCCTTATTCCTGGGGCCGCTGGAAAAGAGCGTTTGATGCCATGGCGCTGTCTGATGTGACTGGGCTGCCAGCAGTCCTCACCGTGTCAGGGGTGAGAGCTGTACCCTCCTCCCGAGCCCACCACATCTCACCTAAAAGAGGTGCATAAGGAGACGGAGGCTGAGCCGCAGGCTGGGTCTAGCCGGAGCTTGCTGGCAGCTGAGCGGCCAGTGCCCAGGGAGGCTGGTTCGCAGTGGGGTCCCTGCACCCTGCTCTGGGTGGCAGTGCCTGGGGGATGTGTGGGTTCAGCCGCCATGTGGGAGCGCACGCGCTTTCTCCTGCAGCAAGCATTAGGGTCTTCAATGGGCACAAGCAAAAGCTGCAAAGTCCAACACTTTCAGGCATTTCCATCACCTCTGGGCACCGCTGGCACCAGGAGCGGTTTCGGACAGTGGGAGGAGGTGTGAGTGCATGTTTTGATGTAACCCCAAAATCTAGCCTTCCTCCTGGGTGCCCTCAGAGAAGTTCCCACACCTCTGATGCACCAGGACACAGGCAGAGTGGTACCATGCTGCTCCCACCACTGGTAAGAGGCACACAGCCCCTCCATGCCTGACAGCCCCCTGCAGGGCACACACACTGAGGGGCCCGGTGCATGATACCGATGGAGCATAAATACCTCAACTCTTCCAGACCGACTCTATAAGATCTCACCCCCCCCAAAGATTCACTCCACGCCATTACGACCGCTCGGTCCAAGGCGCAGCACGCCGGTATCCTCCACACAGCAGAGAAATCACGCTCCGAATGACAATGGGATGTTGTAAATCCAGCTTGTAAATGATCTTCACCTTGTTTTGTTCAGTCTTTATGATGTATATCTTGCTTTTTTTGCAGGTGGTACTTTCTGGTGTTACAATTCTCTGCAGTTCTGGTATGAAATTGGTGTATTTGTTAAAAACAGTTTGTTCTATTAAAATTTTTTTTTGTGGTTTCCAAAAGCCCATTGGTGCATTGTACAATGGGATCTTGTAGTGTGTCATGAGAAAGAAAAAAATATACAGATATGTTATGGAGTGAGTTTTCTTTTCAAATGATTGTGTTGTTGGCAATTATACATATTATATATATATATTGTCAAGATACTATGAAAAAAATCTAAATTTACCAAAATCTGTATATTTTAATAAATGCATAAAGCTTTATTGTGTGCCTTTACATTTAAAAATCAAACAAACTGAGGGATTTTTAAAGAAAGCCAGAGACAAATGTGGCTTAGTATCAGTTTCCATAATAATGTAAATCTTTTAAATGAAAAACTAAATAAGAAAATAGTAAGAAAAAATTCCCATATAAGTTCTGTTAAGCCAGTCAGTACCTTGAGGTTTGATATTTTTTCAGTGTTAAATTGAAGCAAGAGATGAACAATTCCTGCCTTAAGTGCTTCAAAATTTCCTCTGTAGAAGATCCATTTCAGTGGCTGACTTTGGTATTTACTTGCGCTGTTGTGAGAAAAATGGTTATCAGTTTACACAATAAAAAAAAGAAGATAAAAACCCCCTCAAGCCAGTGACCACAGGTTGACTGTTGCAGTGCGAAGCCCTGGGTAGTGCCGATGTTTTCGCTTCTGGTCATGGTGCTGCCGGCACCCACCTTTCTCCAGGGTAACTGAGGCATCATGGCACCATCACCACCTGCACAGGCACTGGGGCTGCAGGGAGGCAGGCATCGTTTGTGGGCCCAAGGCCGCCTCTCCGTTTTGGGGAGTCAGGGCCTCCAGTATCCCCCCGTGGGCGCCCTCCTGTTATCTGGGGAATGGGGAGACTGCCAGGCACACTCCCTGTAGTGGAGAGCAGTAGCTGGTCCTGGTGGAGCTGGGGAGGGCTCTACTGGGACACCAGGACCTCCAGCTCCACACTGGGGTGACCACCAGACCTCACATCCAACACCCACAACAGATATTAGGCGCAGTGTGGAACAGTTTTTAGATTCAGAAGAATTATATTTGACTCTATTTTGAGGCTTTGGGTCAGCAAACAAGTACCAAATGCTTTCAAGAGCCAGCAATGCCTCAGCCGACCCAGCCCAGGAGAACCCCACATGGGAACAGGGTGTATGGGGAGGGCACAGAGCAGGTATTTCAGCTTTGATCATCTAAAAACTAGAAAAGTTTAATGTTCTTTGTGTTTCCTCCAAACATTTCCCCTCTGTGGTGCCAGCACTAATATCCTGTCCTGTTCTTGGCTCCATCTCCTCACGCCCTACAGTTGCAGATGTCTGCTTCCCCCACGGCTGCTCCAGGGTTGTTTTGCTTTGTTTGTTTTGGTTTTCTTCTCTCCCCTGAAATAAAGCTTTTTCCTTCCTCTGAACAGCTTGCCCAGGGTCTTTTAAGTGTTGGATATGGGATTGGCCGCTGATAATCAGTGACAGCAGGCAGAGCAAGCACCATCCCCTGACAAGGATCCCCAGACCCATGTACCTGAAGGTGCCAAGATGCAGCCCAAGGGTGTGTGCAGCAAAAAAACATGTAAGTGCTGCCTGGCAGGGTTCCTTGCCCATCGGGTCATGCACCGCTGCCTGGGCCACACCAGCAGCACCAACACCTTGCTGAAAAAAAATCCTCAGTCATCTCAGACGGGTTTTCCTGTGCTTCTCCCTCCCAGTTTGCTCCAGGGCTGTTTGCACGCAGTGCTTCAGCAGCTTTCTGCTCTGAGGTCTCCCACACTGCCATCAGTCCCGGGGTTAACGGGCAGAGCCACTGCTCAGCTAGAGTGGCAGGAGGGCGACAAA